ACATGTATTCCCTAGGGGCCACTTAAAGTAATTCATTGAAGAGAAAAATGGAGGACAAAAACAAAGAAAAGTAAAAGAAACACACGCTCTTGCTTAAGGTCCAGACAAATGTCATCTTCATGAAGCCTTCCTCAGCTCCTAGAAGTTCTTTCACGATAGTTATTTATGAACGTGTCCTACCTTCTCTAACTAGACTGGAGCCCTTTCACCTCAGTAGCCACGCCACGGTCACCTTTGTAACCTACATTGTGTGTAGCACAGTAGCAGACTAGATAGGTCTATTCAATGAGTACTCGTGTGCTATATTTATTTGTGTGTATATTAACATATGTTCATATAGATGAATCTTGGTTTGGCACTGAGAAAACATCTATGCATATAAAGGAATTAGGAACTTTCTGAAAGTTTAAGTCAGTTTCTTTTGATAACAAAAGTACCAATGCCAGTTGCACCCAATACCGCTAAGCACATACACAGGCATTTCCTGTGCGCTAGAAATTTTCTGTTAAAAGTCTGAAACTATTTATTCCCATAGTACAAAATCACACGTAGAGCTGAAGATACAATTTCTTCAAAAGAAAAAAGATTCCTATACTAAACTGCAATTTTTAAAATATCATTCTGTCCTAAAAGCTTTTTCAGAAAAAAAATCGTTCACTCACCCAGTGATGTTAACACTCATCCAACAACAATAAAACTCTTACTGGTTTAGTTCCCTTATCTTACTTTTGATTCCAAATGTTACTTTTTTCCGAAGGCTGATTTTTACTTTCTTATGTTTTCATGTGTTGTCTCGATTTTTTAAACGAGCAGGTATTATATTTTGAATCATAACATCGATAATGTTAAGTTTTCAAAGAAAAAGAGTGGCATTTAAAAGACAACCAGTTATTAAATTAGCAGTGTTCTTTCACATTTCCCCAAAATACATCTAAATATCACTTTAGAAATTTGCTGGGAATTTAGTATTCAAGTGAAACAATGAAGGGAAAAATTTAATTAGAAAAGTGTTTGAAACCCATCTGACAGGAGAGATTTCTAAATTCTAGTCTATAATGAAAAGCGAGTCACTTTTTTCTCTTAAAAAAAAAAAGTTGTCAACAGGCTAGAATTCTGCATCTTTAAAGTTTGAATTTGGAGAACAGAGGAAATCTGAAAGATTTCAAATCATTAGACTTAAAATTTTTCAATTGAACAGTAACACCCAGGAAGGGCTGCCTTTTCAGATGCTGATGAAGTCGGCTCCAGACCTTTCCATGCTATCATACTCTACTTGACCACGGTGAAAGAAAGGATGAATCCTTTTGTTAGATATTATTTTCACTAGTGATTTAAAGCTACCCTGCCCAACAATTCAAAACTGTTCATATGGTCTTAAACAAATAACATGACTAATGAGGTTTTCTCATCAACCTGATCACATTTAGATTTTGAAATCACATTCAACCTCCTGGACTCCTTTACATGTCCCTGTCAATATCGCAGTAATCCCATCAATGCAATTCATGCAAATACACGTCTCCATTCTCTCTATCTGTCCTTAAAAGCCCCATTCAGCATCAGTTTGTGCTGTAACACCATGCTGCAGCATCCCTGCACTTGAACTTGGGAATACAGGCTTTCCAGGACTGCAGGCAGAGCCCTTACCGCATTCCTTCTGAACCTCATCTTGCCTCTCGGGGGAGTTGCTTCTGCCATCTCGCCTATACACAAGAACACTCTTCTTTTCCAACTGTCAATGCAACATTGATAAAATATGAGCTGCTTCTGGGGTAGTATTTAAAAGCGGCAGCCAAAAATCTCTATCAAACAAAGCTACGGTAGCTGCTTCCATTACCACGGCGGCAGTACTGCAAAAACCCCACTATCCTTGATTAGTCAGCTGACAGAGCCTTCCCGGCTGCTCATTGTAATTCAGAGTTGACACATTCCCCCAATTACTTAGCCAGATTGAGCCTCATGGATTAGCTGGTGCCGGACTGCTCTAGAAGATCAGGCATGTCCTAAGAGTGGAGGATGGAAAAAAAAAAATCAAAAAAAAACAAAAAACACGACTCTCCTCATAGGGGCTTGCTGGGACTGGCTTTCTCCTCTGCGCAGTTTGATTTTTAAGGTGGAATGCTAAGAATCTTTGTGAAGGTAGTATTAACTGATACCTTTATTCTTGTCCTACCCGGATGGGTAACTTAGAATTCACTTCAGGATTTGGTGTTTATTTTTCTTTTAATTATTAAATTCTATTCAGAATTTAAGCCTTGTGAAAGGTCAGCGGTTTGTGAAATTTTGATAATAATCCAGGAAGAACACACAAACTTTCTAATATGGCTAGGATTCTCTCCCAAATTGACATTTCTCCACACTGTAGAAATAAAAAAAAAAAAAATCTGGTTTCCCAGGGCACCTGGGTGGCTCAGTCTGTTCAGCAACAGTCTCTTGGTTTCAGCTCAGGTCATGTTCTCAGAGTCCTGGGATTGAGCCCCACCTGGGCACAGGCTCAGTGCAGAGTCGGCTTGGGATGCTTTTGCTCTTCCTCTCCCTCCTCCTCAGTCCCTCCTCCTCAGCCCCTCCCCCTGTTCATGCTTGCTCTCTCTCTCTCTCTAAAATAAATAAATAAAAGCTCTTTAAAAAAATCTTGTTTCCCTATCATTGATTATGAAGTATAACCTAACTGCATAGTTTATTTTGCAATTTACAAATTAAGGTCTTCAAATTGAGCTGTATAATTATTTTAAAGATACTTGTTTAAAGTAATATACCAAAGATAGTTACATCTATCTATACAGTGGCAACTTTTACCAGAAATCCTTTCTGAATGTAACTTTTGCTCTTGAAATTAGCTTGCATTCAATTATCTTTAATGCAAACAGTGCCCAATGCCTAGTCATGGTTGAGATGTAATTAATGTGCTCTTGAGTATGGGTATAGAAACTATACCACAAGTAGAAACATTTAACATGTTAAAAAGAAATGACGCTTAATCTATAGCCGATTACATGTCATCATCACTGGTGCCCCCAATCTTGCCTAGCACCACCAATTTGGCAATTAAGAGAATGAAGGGACCCTGAGTGCCAAGCTCCATGCTGAATATGGTTCATACTTCCCCACTGAAAGACCATCCCTAGGGAAACAGAAAGGGGAGCTTGACCTCTCAAGAAACAAATCATTATTGCTCTGTTGACCCCCAGCCAATAGGATCAAGACCAAATCTTATATTTCTCTTTTAGAAAAAAAAAAAGACCTGTTCCAAGTGGCCTATTTGATTAATAAAAATAAAACCTTAACAAGAAACTAATGCCATGTGCCAAACGGTCACACAGTGAAAATTAATTTAATAAGGCAGATAGTTTTGGCCAAAAGAAAAAAGCTGGGCTGCGTGATAAAAAAAAAAAAAAAGTTGTATTATTAAAAAAGTGTTTTATTTAGTATAAAAGAATCGTGAACTGAAATCTCAACAAGCTCAAGGACGGATCTTAAAAGGCCAGAGCAAGGTAAATAAATAGTTTTTACTTAACTTTGACCCATCGACAGGGCTCAACAGTATATGCTGGGCAGATTTACTCTCTCCAAAGGAATTTTACTTTTTTATAAAAAAAACACTGAATGTATTTGTCTATCCACAAGTCATTTGGAAAACGACAGAAAGCAGCAGGTGGAAAGAGCACCAACTGAAGTTCATGAAAATTCAATTCTTGCTCCGCCTCTTTTTGTTCCTTAGCTATTCGACCTTGGATTCATCACAAAACCTTCTCCTAAGTGTGTATATTAATGTAGTTCTCTCATCTATGGGACAATTATAATATTACCTGCCTGCAAAGCAAAAATATATTACATGAAGTCAAGGTTTTGCTATTTTATTTTAGTAACTTGTGTGAATTTCGTGTTAACTCTTCTCTCCATTGCTTATCATTACACACTTCTGTTAAAGAAATAAACAAAAAAAAAAAACCACCTTGATTTGCTCAAGATGAAGAATAATTCGAGCTGGGTATGAAAATAATGATCTCATCCATTTTACCACGTGAGCGCCAGTATATTTCTTATGCTCTCTCATTAGCTAGGTTAGCGTAGCAAAAAGAACACTTGGCTCAGAAGTCCAACAACTTAGATTTTTGTCTTGCCTTCACAACCAAATCAACTTCCTCTGGTGAGAGTGGCCTCCCATTTCAGTCAGGAGACAAAGAATTTCTGATGACTGATGATGTTGGGCTCTCAAAGAAAAAAAAATATATTGATTCCCAGCTACTCTGGTCTGATAGAGGAAGTTAGCCACATGGTACTTCTGCAGACAGCCCGTCTTGCCAGCTCAGTAATCTACGGGTTCCTCACCTCCCTCCTCTTCTACGAAGAAATGTCAGACAACGCCGCTGTAATCCAGCTGAGCCTAACACTGTGAAAGATCATCTTGGCTGGGGGCAGGACTGCAAGTCTCCTATTTTTCTCTTAGGGAAACTATTTCCTCTATCTGGGTCTTGGGAAGCTGGGGGCTCGATTCTGAAAGGGGAGATAAGTCATAATGCAGTTGAGTCACTTCCCTACTCTATCCCAGGGGGAGAAACGTCTAGAAAGACACACATCAAAATGTTAAGAGGTGTTTATTTACAGATGGATGAATTACTGACTCCTGTTTTAAACTTTCTTCTTTATACTTTTCCATATACAGTGAGTATACAACAAAGCTATTTCCATTAAAAAAAAAAAACTCGCATAAAAACTCACCTTGCTCTGAAAGGCATTAGGGAACCATGAGTCTCTTCTCACTCATAACTTGAACCACTAACTACTCATTCTTTCCCGTTAGGTTTTATTTTGGATGAGTTGTCCTCTACCAACCCTTCTTCCCACTTTCCCATCTCACCATCCCATCTTTTTTTTATTGTTTCCATCGTGTACTTTTATTGTCTTCATTGCCTAATATCAAAATATTCTGTACTCCCACAAACAGAAAGCATTATGTAAAACAAAAATAAAAAGTTACTGAAGAATGCGTTGGTGCTTACTGAGATTTTCTGAAGAGAAATTTTGAGAGAAGACCATGTATCCAATCTTCGATCAAGAATAATAGTGAACCGGGAGTCAGATCCATTTTGCCTGCAAGATAAGAGGAAATAATGTCTTTCTTAGTAACTAACCAAATTTGCTAGGTTGTGTCCTTAATTCTGACTATTTCATTTACATTTGATATCTTAACTAAAGATAAATTTGGGTTGGGAAACCTACCACAAAGTGCTATGCTGGAAAACCAATTTAATTCCATGTTCTACTACTCAATATTTAAAATTTCTTTTTTGGCACTAACATCATTCTTTTAAATAGTCAAGCGATGGTATAATGCAGATAGGTCACTAAAATGAATTTGGCATACTGCAATCTTGGGTATGAGAAAACCTTATAGACAGCTGTCCTTTATGATATCAGATTTAACTTTTCGTGGCAATCCATCAAGAACTAATGATCCATCCATTCATTTATTCACTCAGAAAAACACTATTAAATATAGGTTTCTGTCTCGCCTGCACCTTAAGAAGGCAGTTTAATGAACAACAAAACTTTTATTTGCCCTAAAAAGACCTAAAAGACTTTCAAGCTCTAAGGGATGCACTACAAATTCAGTTTTCTGTGATTTGACTTTTGTTCATCAAACTCTATATTTTTACCATTGTAGATTTGTGGCCTCTTAGTCTTCAGGGTTAATAAATGGAAAATGTTTCCTTTAAAAATGTTTTTTTTCAACCTAGGGGCACCTGGGTGGCTCAGTCAGTTAAGCATCTGCCTTTGGCTCAGGTCATGGTCTCGGGGTCCTGGGATCAAGCCCCGTGTCAGGCTCCTTGCTCAGCAGGGAGCCTGCTTCTCCCTCTGCCTCTGCCCCTCCCCTCCGCTCGTGTTCTCTCTCTCTCTCAAATAAATAAATCTTAAAAAAAATAAAATTAAATAGATAAGAATTTTATTTTCAACCTAAATAAAATCTTCAAGGAAGCTTTTGAAACTTACCTTTTAAAGCATTCTAGTCTCAAATGATTTCTAATATCAAGAAGTTCCTCCTAATAAATTCCAATATCACTTTTGAGTCTATTTAACATTTGGTCTTCATATTTTACCCTTGGAAGAACAGCTACCCTCACTCTGGGCTAGTAAGATTTCCTTTTAGGCAAATCAAAGGCTTTAAGTATGATCATCATTTTCAACCTATGTTTTTCTTCATGAAGACGAATATTTCTAGACTCCCAATTTTGTTTTCATAGATCCTCAGTATAATTTCTATAGCAATTTAGGTAGCGTCAGCTTCCCCTTCTAAGTTTTATTTCTTATCTACTCTGAAGGTGAGTCTTATAATCACTTACAATAATAATAAGAGTCACACTAAAAAGCCATTTTCCTGTTATTACACTCAAATAGGTATCTAACATATAACAAATTCAAAGAAATGTAATGAAACGCTATACCTTGCAATAGATGTCAAGTAAGTCAGCACTTTTGCTATCACTTCTTCTGGTATACATCTGAAATTACAATTTTCTGGAAAAGTAATGATCCAATCATTATCCTTTCCCCGGCCACCTAAAACCGTATAAAAAAAAAAATCAACCAAATTAACAATTCATGTGACAGCAATGCAAGAAAGAGGATTTGAGAGGGGCAGGTTTGGGCCAATGTAACTTTTATAAGGATGACGGTCTCCACATAAAACAAAATGGCACCATGCCCCTAAGTTTAAAAAAAAAAAAAGGTAGCCAAGGGGCACCTGGGTGGTTCAATTGGTAAAGCATCCGACTCTTGATCTCAGGGTCTTGAGTTCAAGTACCACAATGGGTGTGGAGCCTACTTAAAAAAAGAAGAAAAAAAGTAGCCGAGTAGTTTCTAAATGAAAACAGAATGTAATAAAGAAAAAAAGAGAGAGAGAGAGAAGGCAAAATGAGTGATTATAGTCAGAAGAAATTTTCATGGAATACATATAATAAATATAATTAAAAACACAGCTGACCCTCATATTCGACAACCAAGGATACTGGGAAATAATGGTTTCTATACCAATGCTATGGGCCTCAATTCAAACTGGGCAACTTGATATAATCAACCACTTACAGCTATGGTGAGCCTGGAAGAATACTGGATATAAACTGCAGGAAATAAGTGCTGTTCTAATGGATTTGTCGAAGAAACAACATAAGAAGTAACAGCAACAATGGTGTAGGACTCTTACTAATGCAAAAAAACAAAGACCATGAATTCTCTGTGGGTTAAAATTCAGTGTGCACCCTACTCTAGAGCCCTCTACACAGCTTGGAGGATAAGGAACACTGAGAATGAAAGCCACCTAAGTACAAGGATGAGCCTCATACATGTTCAAGGTCCCACCCTACAACAGCTGGCCCAACAACTGGGCACAGAATAGGTGCTCAATAAATATTCAGTGCTAAATGGAAGCTGAAGGATTGTTTTAGGAGGAAAATTACAGGGTGGTCTTTGAATTTAGCTTGCTAACAGAAATTTTTTGAGAAGTTTAATTGTAATTCTCATTTGGCTGAATTTAAGTGAATAAAGATGTAAGGCTATAAAAAAATTAAATGTGCAATAAAAATATGTCAATGGCAGGGTGCCCGGCTGGCTCGGTCAGAAGAACATGTGACTCTTGATCTTGGGGTGGTGATGATCATACTTAAAGCCTTTGATTTGCCTAAAAGGAAATCTTACTAGCCCAAACCAAAGAACTAATGGGACAAATAGAAAACAAATAGTAAGATGGTAGATTTAAACCTAACCATATGAATAATCACAGTAAATGTAAATAATCTTGACATCCCAATTAAAAGTTGGAGATGATCAAATTGATCAAATTGAATTAAGAAATCTTTTGAAGCTCTGTTATCAGGTACATAAGCATTTAGGATTGTTATATTCTCCTGATAAATTTACCACAGTTTGATTATCAAATGATTTTATTAATACCTAGTAATATTCCTGACTCTGAAATCTATTTTGTCTAAAACTAGACAGCTTCCTTTTGACTAATATTAGTATGGTATATCTTGTTCCATCCTTTTGCTTTTAATACATTTGTGCTTTATATTTAAAGTGTGTTTCTCGGGTGGCTGGCTGGCTCATTTGGTAGAGCATGCAACTCTTGATTTTGGGTTTCTGAGTTGAAGCCCCACATTGAGTGTAGAGCTTATGTAAAAAAATAAAAATAAAATTACATTAAAAACTAAAGTGTGTTTCTTATAGACAGTATATAGTTGGGTCTTGATTTTTTTAATTCAATTTGATCATCTCCAACTTTTAATTGGGATGTCAAGATTATTTACATTTACTGTGATTATTCATATGGTTTACCATCTTACTATTTGTTTTCTATTTGTCCCATTAGTTCTTTGGTTTGGGCTAGTAAGATTTCCTTTTAGGCAAATCAAAGGCTTTAAGTATGATCATCACCACCCCAAGATCAAGAGTCACATGTTCTTCTGACCGAGCCAGCCGGGCACCCTGCCATTGACATATTTTTATTGCACATTTAATTTTTTTATAGCC